TATATCATACTTCATGATCAAAAGTCATCGGGTCAAGGATGAAACATCAGAATGATCCGTTGATCCCAAACCAACGGTGATGATGGAAAAGGGAACATCTCGTGAAGTAAACGTCGTGTCAAAAACGAGTTAAGCTTTTGGGTCAGTGGTGCTCATCATAGCTTTTTATTTTACTTGTAAAATAGAAATGACAAAAAAAAAACTTGGATAAGGCGCACTAAACGTAGATGTCTAATCATGGTACACTGTTTATTGGGATAATCTCCACCCTTTGATTACATTGGCCATGATTTGTTGTGTGATTGAAATTGGGACCATCAAGAGGAGTAGGCAGCGCAATCTTTGTTTTTCTAAGGGATAAATCAATTTTTTTTGTTCTTAAATTTAGTAAAAAAAATATTAATTTTAATTCCTGACTTTTTTAATCTACATTACATATGAATTTAGTTTTTTCATATCATAGTCTTTAAGATTATACCCAATCATAAAAAAAATTCTTATTGTATTTCTTCTTAAATTATATCTTTATTGTTATTCCTTCGTATATTTTCCTTGTTATGTTTCGTACGATAGTCTTTAAGACTTTAAAGTTACTCTTAAAATATCTTAAGATTTACCCAAAAACATTTTCACCATTTCCTTCCCTTGGTTATAGTCCCTCGATGGGACAATTGTCAATCTCATTACTAATTAAATATTATATGATAGTGTAATCTATTTACCTACCAATCCATCAATAATCATCAACTCTGATATCAATACCAACCACCCTATTAGTTGATGTCAAAGACACATATACACACACAAACACAATCGAATGAGAGAATTAAAAATCTACGCCCATTATTCATCATCGTTTACAATTATTTCCTCTCTCTTTAAACCATCAATTTTCCATCTAATCCAAAAAGAATAAAGGATTAATACGAAGAAAAAAACTTTGATGTATCTCCATAGTGATAAATACTCCATGTTAAGGAAACTTGATATATCTCCAAAGTGGTTAGGGCTACTCATGGGGAGAAACTTTGGGTATCTTTTCCCACTACTAAAGCTAAGTGCTACCATGAAAGATTCCCCTAAAGATGTTAAATATCGGCTAAGCAGAATCATCATCCTCGCCATAAACACGGAATCAATATTAAAACCAATGCAAATTGGCAATGTGTGCGATTTTATTTCTTTTACTAAAAAATAAGAGATAACGTTTCACAAATTGTCACCGACCTCCACCATATAAAATTTGGTGTACGTATATACAAGAATCACAATAATTTTACTACATTCAAAGTTAAATCGAATTTCGTAGTGGTTCGTGTTCTATTTAGTTCATTATAGAATTTAAATTTTATTTTTGAAATCAAATTTTTTTTTATATTATCATTCATTTTATTGATCATGTATATTTGAGATTTTATCTATACTCATCTATATAAAATTTTATATTATTAACACGTGTAGAATTTACTTTAAATACGGCACCAAATGCTTGTTTATCTCACGTGCTTCTCTTGTTCCCCTTTAGTGCCCTTTCTTTTTCTTGGCTTTGATTGATTGCTTTATGACTGTGTTTTTTTAATGGGGTTTCATTTGTTTCTTGTCTTCTTTCCCTTTGCATATGATTATCCATGCACCGCTATGAATGTACTATATGTGCACAATATCACACCCACCCTATGAGCTACCCCACCAATCAATACCCAAATCATCAACATATATTTGAATTTGTGGTTATCCAGTGAATCACAATCCATGCATTAATGTATGGAAACTTGGTTTAATAAAACTAATTACAAAAAATCAAAAATATTTGTTAATGATAAAATTCAAGATCGTTTAAATAGCTATATTAATAAACCAAAGAGTGTAAATAAATCTTTTAAACATCTAAATTACTAAAAATAAAATAAAAGCATGATCATGTTTGTGATTATCGGAAGCATGAAGTTGCTAGCTAAAAAAAGGCAAGGTGTCGATAACAACCATCATAACTTGAGAGCACTATTTTTGCCAAATGGTCATGCTAATGTCCATCATTAGGACATCTTTTAAAACTAGTACAATGTTACAAAATAATTCACATTAAATGCAATAGTTTATAATTGTTGTGACAGATTATAAAATATTTTTATATAATAATCACAAAAATATATTGAAAGGACTCGTTAACAAAATCTTATTTTAATTATCGTTATTTTTATGTCTGATAGATTATTTATAGTATATGCTGTCAAGATTATAGTAAGAAGATAAGTGTTTTTATTTTCATGTACGCGCATAAGTCAATATTATAATAAAATAACCAACAAAAATCAAGATTTGGTTATGGTCACTTAAGCCAACTATATAAACAAAATTAGATAATTTTGTATTGTTAAATAATATTTATAATAAGTGTTTGAGACTAATCTAAACATAATTTCATAATGCCATAGTAATTAGTTGTCTATTATGTCTAGAAGCATGCTTTTATTCTACCCTTTTGCCTTTACATATCAAACGATAAAAGCCCATATGCTCGGAATTATTGGTACAAATATAAATCCATAAAGTGACACAACATGTGTCGTTTTACTATTCAAATTATTATCTTTTCCCTCAAAATTATTTTCATTTTATCATTTCGAATATTGTTACAATCTTGTAAATTAAATGCATGCTTTCACATTTCGATATGCTTGATGATAGCAAGAAAGAAAAATAAATGAATATTTTTAAAAATAAACTTTCAAATTTTATATATTTTAAACTACTTAAATTTTATCAATCATATAAATTAAAAAATAATATATATATATTTAAGGGTTATGATCCACTCACACAATGTAAAACTTTTTAGTTTTACATTGATTTAAGACCGATGGACGAGTAAAAATAGATGACTGAAATTGACTCTTTTTTCTTCTTCGGTGAATATATTTTCATTTCTACTATTAATCTCAGCCACTTACTTTATTCATCTAACGATCTAAAATATGTATAAAACTAAAAGAGTTTTAAAAGTATTCAAATCTATATATTTATAAATATTCAATCAAATTAAAATGTTAACAAACATCGTACACAAAAATCTTATCCTTAGCAATTGTACTTAAAGCTACACATTATTGTTCGGATAAAACCAAAATCAAATGCTTTGATATGGTCTTGGTTAAATTTGGTTTGAAATATTTAAGAAGTAAATAAACTTGAGTTTGGGTTTTAAAGCTAAATTGATTTTGTAATAAATCAATCTAAAATGTTAAATTAAAACATATATAAATGAGTTTTTCCTAAAGGACATAGCCCATAAATTAAGGCTTGATTCAGGTCCCTTGTAAAGTCTGGACTTTGGGGTTTCCCTTGTAAGCCCATACTAAAGAGATGAATAATACCATGCATATAATAAATGGGTTTCTTTTTCGTCTCTCTATTTTATAGTTTTCTCTTATAATTTTCTGTCATTGGTAAGTCATTCGTCCTTTTTTTTTATCTTTGTTGATCAGCGATAACATAAACTTTAATGTTGATTGCCGACCGCCGATATTTTTTATTGTCCTTTTATTTTCTCTTGTTTTTTTTCAACAAGTATGCTTGTATGACACACTTTCCTCTGCCTTTATGACACATTTTCTTCTTCTTCTTTTTGGCCGTTTGACCGTTGTTTTCATTTACCATTTTCTATGAGTTAATTAGACATAGCCACGACTGATTAAGATAGCATTTATCTGTTATATTGTTGATCTTCCCTGCTTTAGATCATTGGATTGGATTGGATTTGGATGCCCATTATGCGTTCGTGAATAGCTTTTCACGTCGCTCGAGTTTGATTTGCAATTTATCGATGGTCTTTCAGTAGTTTAATCTCCTTTTGTGGTTTATTTGTTGATGCAATCAAATATGTCTGTATCTATTTTTGTTCGAGTATTCTTGGTTAGATTTTAATCTTTTCTTGTATCCTTATATGATAGTTTTGTTTCAATGATTATAGGAAATTTTCCTAATTATATGCTTAATTTACGATTATGATCATAAATATTTATTGTAATTTAAGATATTTCCTATTTTGAATAAAATTATTAATTTCTTAAAAAAGATTAATATTATTTTATTAATAATATATCAAATTTATAATTTGACCTAGTAATTAGACGTTACAATTTTTTCCTAAAGTTAAAGGTTTAATCCTCATCAAAATTATGTATATTCTCTAATAAGATAATAACACACAGTCATTTGATTGAAAGATATTAATTTATTATAATTATAACATATGGGAATGCCATATTAACTATCATTAACAAAAACAATAGCAATAAAAGTGAATTGAAAGTTTAGTGATCTTAATATAATTTTTAAAAAATTTATGACCAAAATGCAACCACTTTAAACATTTAGAGACTACCAGTGTAGTTTATTTTTAAAAATAAAATAATAAAATGTATAGGTTTGGTCAATAGTAAGAAACCCGCCTAAGTGAGAGCCAGAGAGACATTAAAAAAATTTATAATTTGACTTAGTAATCAGATGTTACATTGTTTCTAAGGTTATAAGTTTAATTCTCATCAAAATTATATATATATATATATATATATATTCTATAATAAGATAATAACACATATTTCCATTTTATTGAAAGATATTAATTTATTAAAAACTATAAAATGTGGGAATATCATATCAACTATCATTAAAAACAATGATCATAGTAAAAGTGAATTAAAAGTTCAGTGATCCTATTATAAGTTTTAAAATTTTAGTGACTACCGTTGTAGTTTACTCTCAAAAAATAAAATAATAAATATATAGGTTGGTCTGTAGTCAGTAACCCGCCTAAGTGAGAGCCAGAGAGACATTCAAAAATCAAACGGCACAAAATCTAGATTGAAGAGACTAAGAAAGAAGAAAATTCTGGAAGACTAGAAGAAAAAGAACAAGAAGAAAAAGCTCGAGGATGCCGAGAACGGAAACGAAGACGAAATCAGTAAGGAAACCGCTGAGCGATTTAACGAACAATGAAAGCACAAGGACTTTCTCCAAATCAGAGATTCCGAAGAAGAGATTATCCCCAAAGACAGTATTAACCAAAACCACTCCTCCCTTGATCGCCTCCTCGTCCTTCACTCCGATCTTTCCTCTCTCCTTCGCCAGGTAGCGTAATTGAAATTTTTCACCTTTTCTCTTCACCTAATTATGTTTGATGCACTTCGTTAGGGTTTGTCTTTTGTTAGTCTGGATTTTCATTTTTTTTGGTAAAATATTTGTTTATAGTAAAATCGATCTACGCTCGAGGACATTTATGATTTCTGCATTATTTTTCTCTTGAAAAGTGTGACTGGTAATTATGCCTAAATTGTTTTTTTTCCCGCAAATTTGTTTGTGAACTTAGCAGATTGATGAACTTGTTGTGGAAGCTTTCAAGGTTAAGGCAACGGAACAGGGGAGAAAAGAAATTGAATCTTTTATGAATGTCGTTTCCGATATGCTTTCCTCTTTAAAGGTTAATCCTCTTAAGATAATTTTCTAAAATGTGTGTTACTTGAATTTGTTGTGGATTTAACATAGATGTTTTTTCCTACATTTGCAGCCATGGGTCCCCAGATTTCAGAAGGCATTTTCGGGTCCTTCTTCCGGGGAGCACGAAGATCAGCCTGGAAAAAACTTGGAAGCTGAAATTGTGCCTTTTGTTGATGCAAATGAAAAAGAATGCTTCGATGTTCGAAGTCCAGAAGAAACTACGTTGGACTCATTAATCTCCCCCTCTCCCCTTGTGTCTTGGCGTGCTGCTGACTGTAATGTTGAGAAAGGTAGACAGCTGTTTCTGCTCACACCTCTTCCTCTGTCGAAAGCAATGTCTTCCAAGAGGCGTGAATCGTCTAAGTCAGGAATCGAAGGGATAGCTTCCAAATCTTATGTTGAGCTTGCATCTTTTCTCAACATTCCTAGGGGTGACAATGATGACTTGCTTGAAGGTGTTGAAATGAAGGGAACTCCAGTTAAGCCTTCTGGTGTTGAAATGAAGGCAACTCCAGTTAAGCCTTCTGGTTCAGTTGTGGTTGAAACAGATAATACATCGGAGTGTAGGATCGTTTCTTCACCAGTGTTTTCAAAAAGAGATCATTCCGTGCTTGTCACGACGCCATGCTTAAAAATGTCGCCTCCTAAATCTTGTGTGCTGCTCGAACCTATTCATGAGTCCTCGAACAGAAGCTGTTTTTTGGTTCGCAAGTCTACTCCATATCCTGTTGGAATTAACAAGAATGTTTTTTCTGAATCCTCTGGAAGTGAAGAACCCCCTGAGGATCTGTCTTTGAAGTATCCAGAACTACGAGGAATACAGCAAACATACTTACCCGAAATAAGGAAAAAAGAGCTGGAGTCCTCGCCAACGTGGTTATTCTCACCTCCTAAAAGTTGCATTTTGTTGGAGCCACCAGATGAGGAACCCCTGGACAATGTTGGCACTGATCACCACTTGCCTACCACTGATGCTTTAAATCAACAAGCAGATGTGGTTTTCTCGAAAGGAAATGCTTGTCAAGAAACCAAGACAATTAACCAAGGTATCTATCGTTGTGCATATGCTGCAGTAGATTAATTCACTGATGTTTAATGTTTGAGAAACACATCGAGTTTAATTTTTTTTTTGTTCTGCAGGAAATACTGTCATTAGCTTGGCTCCTGTTGAAAGTACTCCAATGTGGAAGGAACCTCAGAGCACAATGCGGAGGGGGAAACATCCAGGTGAGAGTACTCTAAAGAAAGAGCTATGGACAAAGTTTGAAGCAGTGTCGACATATGGGCTTCGTTATAACACCTCAGCAGTTCAAAGAACAGCTAGAAAGGGTTTTCTTGACATGCTGGATGAGGTTTCATGTGATGAAGAAAGTTCAATATCAGATGGTTCGAGATGACACTGCTCTCCGTGTCTGCAAAACTGCAAAAAAGTTTCGATTTATAGCCGTTGGTATTTGCAGAGATTTTCCGGTAAATTAGTCCGAATGTTTTGATTTTTACCCCACATGTATTTTGCATGCTCAATGCCTAATGAATTTCCATTTTCTAATACATAACTATAAAAACATCTCTGAAATTTTACTGTTTATGCAGTGCTTTGTGAATTGGGATGTGAATGCCTCTTTTTGTAAGTTATGGTTCACCAATATCAGTTTAAACATCAATGAGGGAAAGTAATTTTTGTAGAATCTGTGGGGACTTCTTGTATCCTATAAAAGCCGTGGCAAAAACCATAGTAACTACCTTCATAATCCTTTTAATTTTGAAAATTACATAATAGTAATATTTTCACGCAAACTGTACATACCATGGTCGATTGTCACGTTGAACTTGTTCAGAACTCTCCATGTTCCCCTCCACCAACCAGTGGCCTGAACTCACTGAAGCTGTATTGCTTTTGATTTGACTATATGGCCTCCCCTCTGTCTACTACAATTGTCTCAACTCCAAGCATTTGCCAGTGCTGCTTTGCTTGTTTGATCAACTCTATTGCATACACTAGTTGAATATCGTGTCAGAATTTACACATTTAAGTAGTTTAATACGAGTCAGATCTCAAAATTTACGCATCTAAATCCAGCTCAAGTTTTTGGAATTTTTGTATTAGCAACTACTTTTTCCTGTACGAGTATATTGGTAATGCTTGATCTTTAGTCATGATCAAATTGGTATAATTTTTTAAAGTACAATGATCAAATTGGTAGTTTATCCTAACTTTTAAGTCATCCATTTTTTAAAAAACTATCCAATGAATACGTGTCATGTCACATTTTTTTTATATTCCTTTCAATTTTCTAAAGAAACAAAGAAAGAAAATTAAGTCCCAAACACTTCGATTTTGAAAACACATCTATTCCTAATGTATTAAGTTCACTCTATGTTTTTTCTTTTTTTTTTTTTGAAAATAAAAATCGTAGGTCCCAAAATTTAATCCCAAACTCTTCGAATGCGAATCTATATATTCAAAAGTAAAACTGAAACCTCAATTGTTAAAAATTAATCCTACAACACTTTGATTGAGAGAATCCATCTCTTACTTTTGGGGGTATTATCACGTGTGCAAAAAATGGCCCTATAGAATTAGTCTTTGTTAAATGAGTTTTATTTCAAAAAAAAATAATTAAAAAAGTGTTCTTTCCATAATATTTTTTTGATATATTTAAATAAAAAGGGATTTTAAGTTTTGTGTATGTAGAAATGGTGTCATGATTACCTAATGTTTCATCAGTAATTCAAATTATGTCTAAAAGTTAAAAGATGCTCGTGAAACAAAGAATAATTTGAATTACACGGGTTTAAAGATTGAATTATTCATTTAATTCTATCAATTTTTAAAAAATTTAGATACAAATGTTTCATCAGTAATTCTTTCTCATTGTCGCATATTCTTTCTTCAGTTGTTGGAAACACCTCATGCATCTGCTAATAACAAATCAACCCATTTTTAAAGACTAGTTCTGGGTTTTGCTTGTAACATTAAATAATACAGGCTTCATATAGATAATAATTGGGGGGGTTTACCCTTCTCTGTTTCCAGATTTGCAATATTCCCTAAACAGTGTGCTCTCAGATTTCATCTTTTTGGCTCCAATGCTGCAAACCAATCAGAAGGGAAAAAAGTATATAATTGGTTGCAATAAAACCAACATGCATAGAATATAGTAGATGATGTTATATACAAGATGATCACTGTCTGTTTTGATATATGTTACCTTGAACTGCTTCCTTTGAACCGGTGCATATAGGCAGCCAACTTGTTAAAATCAAAAGGCTTCCTCTCCCTAATGAAGAGCACATCATCAAGAAGAAAGTATAAGATTATCATTTTGTTGTTATTGGATTGTAAGTAGTGGAAACTTGAACGTACAATGCCTACAATTCGGACTCGAATTTTCGATTTTAAATAAAATCTTCTTGCTTACCAAGAAAAAAAGAGAGAAGGAAATTATCTAAGTTTTTATACTTAGTGTTTTGAAGAAGACGGAGAAGATTTTAAGATCAAATTTTCAAGAAAAATTATTAGAGGTAAATTTGTTCTACTAAATTAATAGATTAGAACCCCTCTAATTTGAATGTTTAAAGGCTACGGAGAGAGTTAAGAAGGCTGATTTGCTGCTGTAGAGTTTTAAAAATATTATTTGTTGAAATAAAGTCTAATTGAAATTATTTTCTGATATAGTATGAATGCTACATTACATGTCGGAAGTCTTATGGACCACTAATTACCGATGTAGGTAATCAATGCAACTTATGGGAAATCTAGGAAACCAATGCTTGAACGTTTGGAGGATGGAGGTCGCCCTGAGGACCTGACGACCTACCTACAGAGGTCTTTAAATAAAAGCCTAATTACCGATGTAGGTAATCAATGCAACTTATGGGAAATCTAGGAAACCAATGCTTGAACGTTTGGAGGATGGAGGTCGCCCGGAGGACCTGACGACCTACGGAGGTATTTAAATAAAAGCATAATTACCGATATAGATAATAATTGTAACTTATGGGAACCCAATGCTTGAACGTTTGGAGGACTTAACGACCTATGGAGTTTGTTTAAATCACTCGAAAAATGCTATTAATCATAAAAAATTGTGATTTTGTAATGATCATTTACGGAGTCGCTCCAATTGATGTCGTGCTGTGTGGTTAATTTTAGTTTATATTTTATAAAACTGATTTCGGCTCATTGATTTGTGAAGTGTAAGCATATTTCAACACTATGAACCCAAATGGATTTTTTTTACTTACTTTTATGCTGTTGAATTGCTTGAATTATTCAAGGTTGCATTATGCTACATATGCTTAGAAGGTTGCATTATGCTATGTATGCTTAGCAAGATCTCTGCGAGGATTAAAATCCGAAACACAAACAAATACATTGGAGAATTCAGTACCCACTTTGGCCAATAAGAGGTCGAAATGGTTTTCGGAGCTCCTGCGGATGTTTTTCATTTTTATAATAAGGCGGTATAAGTGGAGGCACGTTCTCGATACCTTCACCGGTAGCTTTGGTAGGCAGGGTCGTACATGCAGTTCTCAGCATACTTCACAAGATTGTGGGGGCGAGGCTGGCGAGTAGCCAAACCTATCAAACAACGGGGTAACGAAATTAAGATTAGATAAAAGATGGAGTTGCATTTTATATCATATTATCGATAGAGGAAAGGATTTTACCGAGTTCGTATGCTTTAGCTGCAACATCGGCTGCAATATGAGCTGAAATCTTTCTGATATTTCTGAATGGTGGGTAAATTTGTCCCTTGTCGAAGTTCTCCTGTGTCACCTGTGCAGCCAAAGCCTCCGCTGCGCAAAGAAACAAAGAGAAGTAAGCATAAACTCCATAGCATCTTATGCTGCAAGTTGTCAAGCGAAGCTCCTGAACTTTAAATGTATACTTACAGGCTGCCAGAAGCATATCGTCGTGAACACGGATTGCACCAGACATTATTAAACCCAGACCGAGGCCAGGGAAGATGTATGCATTATTTGCCTGTAGGAGATAAATATAACTCAAATTAGCCCAATGCAAGACAACCAAATATGGAGGTAAAACCGCTTTAGGTACAACCTGCCCAGGCACGAAAACTCTCCCGTTGTATTCTACAGGATCAAATGGGCTTCCACTGGCAAATATGGCTCGACCCTGAAAGCAATAAAAAATGTGAAGAACCGTTCAGTGTTACATTGTTTACAGTCACGTATAAATAGATTGAATGTTGAGAAATGCAACACGAAAGCTGCACGACTGAATTACCTGACTCCATGTATAAGCTTCTTCTGCAGTACATTCTGATTGTGAAGTTGGATTAGAAAGAGAGAATACAATAGGTTTCTGCAAGCAGTCGCATAAACATTGGATCAGTTATGGCTTGATTGTTTCACTTATCTATAAAGAAAACTTATCGAGAGATACGGTACTTCATTCAAGGCAGCCATAGCCTCGACCACTTCTTTAGTAAATGTCCTTCCTACTCCTGATGTTCCGATCAACACTGTTGGTTTGATTCCCTGTCAAAATAACACAAAAGAACAAAAAGACTAAGAACCTTTTCTTTTTATATTTGATGGGAGTTGAGGGGTGAGAAAAGGAAGATGAAAGGGAGAGATTTCACACATTAACGGCATCGACAAGATTCTTGACTGGTTCATGATCGTGAGCCCAGGGCTTTTTGAAATGCTGAAGTGTGTCGATACGAGATTTAACAATCAAACCCTGCAAAAAGAATAAAAAGAATGCAAATTTAATCATCAGAATGAAAAATTATCTGCTTTTACAAGAGAGCTAGATCAGATGTTTATTACCTTAGAGTCCACAAGCGAAATCTTCTTGCGAGCCTCTTTGAGTGGCATGCTTGTCTGCATGTATAATCAAGTATTATTTCCAACAGCTTCATGCCATGATGTTCGTCTACTATAAAACATATTATAAAAAAATGATGATTATCGCTAAAAGTAAAACCTGTTTTGAAATTTCAAGAGCTATAAGTTCTGCTATGCCAGTACCAGCCTGCAGATCACCAAATAAAAAGTTAAGTGGAGCGGTAAAATGCAAGTCCACATAGTAACAAAAAATAGAGAACGGAATCAACAACTTTCAACAAGTTGCAACAGTAACTCACCTCTCCAGCACCAAGAAATAAGAATCTATGATCAGCCAAGGTTCCACCAACAACTTTTAGTGCGGCAACAAGCCCTGCAAGGACCACGGATGCCGTTCCCTGCAAAAAGGGTAATTTACCAAAATCATAAATGAATTTTTTACGCTTGATTGATTTAATAAAACTAAACTTAATTGCTAACCTGAATATCATCATTGAAAACCAGATGAGTTGTGCTATATTTAGCAAGCAAATCAAATGCATTGTGGTTTGCGAAATCTTCAAACTGCAAAAATTGTTCAAGGTTCAGAAAACATTAAAGTTATCGTATAAACAAACGCATAAGTCATGTAATACAACCAATATTTCATAGATGTCTTTGCTTGGGTCAACTTACCTGAATTAGAACTTTCT